CTTTTAGGAGCCGGGTCTTGGTCCCCCATTCTCACCTCCCAACTTCCAAGCCTTCAAAACTGTTTTTGGATAACTGAGCCATCCAAGACAGCCCATGTTTGAGTGGGATCCAGAACTTTGCTTCCCTGGGTGGTGGAAAGGAGCAGAGGGAATGGCCAACCTCCCAGCTGTAAGAGAACTCTGTGATTGTGAGTAGTCGGGGGCAAGGCCGAGAAGAAGGTTGAGGTCAGCCCTCTTCCTCCTCGCACCACCACCCCCTCAACCCCACCAGCTGTGGGCTGTCCGGCCCTAATTCACTTCCTTGGGATGCCAGGTCTTGTGATCATTTTCACCTATAACATTTTTTCCACCAGCTTTTCTTCCCCCTCAGCGTATTTTTTTTTAAGCAAGGACTTGGTTTTGCATCTTGTTAAAAATAAGAGAAAGCTTTGACAATAAAAATGTTTCTCTTCACGAAGCTGTGAGAGTTCTATTCATTCTGGGATTACTTAATTCTCATGACCTTTAACAAGACAGCATTTTTGCACAGTTAGATGAGATAATTGATTCTAATGGGGAAAGAAGCACTGCTCATTTAACTGCATGTATCTGCGTTGTCCTCAGTTCAAACAATTTCTCCATTACCTTTGGAGTTGCCAATATATAGATTAAAACAGTAAGAAGGTAAGCAGAAATGTGAGCTAATTCAGCCTTGGAAAGAGCAGAGTTTTCACTTTTTTCAGACAAGTTAACTTTTATTATTATTGACAACTACACAGAGATAGCCAAGAGCAGGTAAAATACCTCATTTAGTGCATAGGACCTAACATGTGCTCAAAAAATGTTAGGTACGCTCTTATTATTACTATCAACAGTCTGAATATAATGGTTATAAAATACAGCCAGCAATAACCAAAGAGAAAGCAAAAGGCAGATTCCATTTTTGTTACAGAGCACCCCCTCCTGATGAAATCAAACTTGTGTGTATTCCCTGGGTGGCTCGTGTTTGGACTACAAGTCAGAAGGATGTGCTGTTCTGGTCTCCTTTACACAGTTATTTGCATCTTGAAGGCAGCCACACAGCCCCTCAAGACCCCCATCAGTGACCCCTTCCGCAAGTGGACAAGCAACAAAACTCTCCGTCCTCCACACAAGATCCTCAGTAACAGGCCTTGGAGGTTGCTCCATGTGTGAGAGGGCATGTCTGTCCCTTGCCTTGCTAGGTAAAGCTAGAGGGTGGAGCCTGGGCTTCCTGCCAGAAAGACTGCTGGTATCTGATTTCAGAGTTTTTATAGCTGTGGGTTCTAGTCTAGACTGTGCCACGTGTGAGCCATTTAACCTTCCATATGTTCATCAATGTCATTGTGTCTTAGTTTCTTCATCTGTAAAATGGGGTTATTAATACCCACCTTTCAGGATTTTTGTGAGAATCAAAGGAAATACCACGTTTACTGCTCTTAGCACAATACCTGGAATGCGGTAGGCACTCAATAAAGCATAGTTTTATAAGTATCTTAGTTAACCGTCTGAGCCTTAATGTGCACACCTGCAAATTGGGTCTGGCCAGGCTGCCTTAATGATTAGATGTGATGTATACAAACTTCCCAGTGCACTTCCTGGAATGCAGTTGGTCCTCAATAAGCCTAATTCTTATGGGCTTCATATCTCTGTATATCCATCTCTGTATATCTGGCCCTCTTAGTGGGTTGGTCACCCCCCCCCCCGCCCCAGGCCTTCTAGTCCTTCTGAGTAGATTTGGCTCGTTATCTGTCTTCCCTACTTGACCATGAACTCAGGGAAGCAAGGGCTGTCTGATAACATCCTGGCTTTTCAGAGTCAGCCATAGGTCCTGCTTTATGGAGTGGGCTTCTAGAACATGTTCATCATTACGACAAAGGAGTGATGTTGCATACAGGATACTGTGGGAGTCAGGGACTGGAATGCTTAACTCTGTATATGAGGAATCAGAGCAGGCCTCCCAGAAAAGTAAATAGGGACCATTGACAAGTCTTGAATCCTAAGACAGGATTTAAGCAGACATTTTGTACTGGATTACAAACCTTTTTGGAAACAAGCTTCCTAGCCTTTTCAAGCATTGTCTATGTTATGTCCATTCTTATCTCTTCTAGATTGCTGCACAAGACTATTTAGCAGTTGCTACCTTGAAAAAAATGCTTTTACATTTAGTTTTATTTTAAGATTTATTTATGATAGACACACACAGAGAGAGAGAGAGAGGCAGAGACACAGGCAGAGGGAGAAGCAGGCTCCATGCTGGGAGCCCAACGCGGGACTCGATCCCGGGACTCCCAGATTGCACCCTGGGCCAAAGGCAGGCGCCAAACTGCTGAGCCACCCAGGGATCCCTGAAAAAAATGTTTTTAAAACATAAATACATGTACATGCTACAAAATAAGGACAATAGGTATATAGTGAGAAGCAGATCCCTCTCCCATCCCTAGTCCTTACCATCTATCGTAGGATGCACCTGCTGTAACTAATGTCTTTCATGTCTTTCAGAAATATTCATATATGAAGGGCTTTTTTTTACCCAAAGATAGTATTTCAGATACACTATTCTGCATGTTACAATTTCCTTTCAGAAAAATACAAAGAGCTTCTATGCACTTTTTATGGTTGCATAATATATTGTGCGAAGGTAACCTATCTAGCCCCTTATTGATGGACTGGTTTGCAATATTTTGCTACTACAAACAATGCTGCAGTGCTTAACCTTGTATGTACATCATTTAGTATGTATGTGAGTATATCTTGAAGAGAAATTTCTAGAATTTTCTAGAAACCCTGGGGACCTTTAAGTCCCAAGATAGAGAGTATGTGTATTATAAATTTGATAGCTTTTTTCAAATCGTCCTTCATAGGGTTTGTACCAACTTACGCTCATGTCAACAAAGAATGAGAGTGCTTATTTCCTATTCTCTGTCAATGCTGTATAATTTTAACCTTTTTTATCTTTGCCAAAGCATATGTGAAAAATAGTATTTCAAAGCTTAACTTACATTTCTCCTATTATGAGTGATATCAAGAGCCTTTTCATATGATTGAGAGCCAATTGTATTCTTATTCTATAAACTCTCTGTTCACAGTTCATATCATATGCCTCCTGAGCAGTTGGATTTTGCTTATTATTTGTAGGAGTTATTTTTATATTAAGGAAATTAACCCTTTATGATACAAGTTGCTAACTTTCCCCCTAGATTATTTATCTTTTGAAGCCAAAGGCCAAGGCTTCATAAAACCCCTCATCCTTGCCCCTCTCCCAGTTCATCCTGACTTGAAGCTCTCCAGGCCTCAAGGGCACAGTGTGTGCCCTGAGCATCTCCTCGCCCTAGTCACCTGTATAGGGCTTGGCACTGCCAGAGCCCTCTTCAGGGGCCGCTTGTTGAACTGAGTTGAACTGAATTCCTGCATTCCCACCCCACCTGCCCTCCCCTGTGGCTTGGGAGTTCCATTTCCACCTCCAGCAGAAAAAGATGACTTTTCTCATTGCTCACCACAGCCATGCACCTGTTTGGCCTAAACTGGCACCTGCAGCCGATGGAGGGGCAGATGTATGAGATCACGGAGGACACAGCCAGCAGTTGGCCTGTGCCAACGGACGTCTCCCTGTATCCATCAGGGGGCACTGGGTTAGAGATCCCTGACAGGAAAGGCAAAGGAGCCACAGAAGGTAGGGTTGCTATGTTGTCCGTGTCGTGAGTCCTCTGTGTCTGCCTTTGAACCGAAGAGATCTTCATTATGCGCGCCATGTGCCTGCCTCACAGCTCCACGCTCTGGCACTTCCTCCATCTCTCTGCACTCCACGCCGGCTGCCGTCCACCTGTGTCTTCATCTCAGTTCCTTGTCACTGTGAGCTCATAGCGGGGCTTGGGTGGCACTCATGGTGCTCAGCAGTATCCCATCTCATGCCTTGAGGGAAGCATTATGGGCTTTCACACTGCTGGGGTGGCTTTGTGTGGGATAGAGACGAGCTCTTCTGGAGCAACCTCATGGGGGTGGACGAGCCTCACCAGGAGTGGGGTGTGGTAAAGCGCGTAGATGGTATGTTGTCATTGAAATACCCTTGGACCCCTGTGGTGTAATGGAAACACCAGTTGGGGTATTTTAGCATTTACCAACCATGTGGCCGTAAGCAAGTCACTTAATTTTCTTTACCACCAGTTTCCTCATTGGCAATAACAATAATCATTAGGGTTTGTATGGTTTGTTTGTTTCAAAGCTTTATGTCAAGGGCATCTCACATTTAATCCTCACAGAGATCCTGTGAGGTAAGTATAATTATTTATACCCATTTTAGATGGGAAAACAAAGGGTTCCACTAATTAAGTGACTTGACCAGAGACACAAAGGCAGTAAATAATGGAGCTAGGCCTGTGAGCCCAGGTATGGATGACTTCAGAGCTCTTGCTGCCTCCAAAAATTGTTCTGACTCACCCAATGGTTACAAGACTCTGAAGGAGATATAGATGGAAAATCCCATTGTACAATGAGACACAAATATTTTTCCATCAGTGATGGAAGTGGTGACATTTGGAATTTGTCATTATTAATTGGGACATTGGTAACCTATGTTTTGAATTTCTTAAGGGTCTAACATGCCACTGACACAGATTCTTTCACTCTCAGCCAAGAGTGGCACAGACTCACAAAAATGATTACAGGAAAGATTACTGAGCTAATGGGCCAGTCTCATTATCATTCTGGGTGGTATGAGCACTCCTCTCCTGTACCTGCTGTGCCCTGCTTTATCTCTCAGATGTTAACCTGTCAGCCAAGTGGTCATATCTGCCTCCAACCTTTACTGCTTACCTCTTCTTTCCTCTCATCCCAGTTAACTCTGGGGTCATAGCTTCTGAGCTTCCCTGTCCTTTTAAGGATTTGCTTTCCAGGAATCAGTTTGGTTAACAGGGTACCTACCATATGCTTGGTTGAAGTAGCTACTCAGGAATGCCAAATGACCCTGAAGGCCAAAATGAACTCTTTTTTTTTTTTTTTTTTTTTTAGCTATGGAATGCTTCATGAATTTGCATGTCATCCTTGCACAGGGGCTATGCTAATATTCTCTGTATTGTTCCAATGAAACCAACTCTTGACCTATGGTCATCTATAAGGAAAGTAAGAATGGGAGCGTTTCCATGGAGCCAAATTAGAACCTCTGCCTACTTTTTCTAGGGGCAATTCCAGTCTTCTCCTTTACAAATATTTTAAGACTTGAAACACTGAATAATGTATGTTTTCTTTGCCCTTTAATAGGTTATAGAGGGAGCATGGATGGGGCCACGGGAAGAACTCTGGGTTAGGAATCAAGACTCCTGAGTTCAAGCCCAGCCACTGCCACTTGAGTTGGCCTTAAGCAAATCCCTTGAAAGACTTTCTGAGCTTCATTTTCCTTCTCTCTAAAAGGAGCTTATTGGGCTAAATTATCTCCAGAATCCATTCTAAATCACAAGTCCTACATATGAAATTGGTAATAGAATCATCAGACCAACCAGATGGTTCTTCAGAATCTTTCTCCCAGTCAGCCCTGTCCATGGTCCTGCCTGTCATATTGTGATTCCCTTGTCAGTTTATAGTGTCAGATGCCATACATGAATACCATAAATGTGGACAGTCTTTAGATCAGCATGTACAGATGCAGATTTAAGATATGTTTAACCCTCAAGGCATTGGGAAAAGGTCTCATTTAGCAAAATGTATTTTCTTTCCTCCATGATCTCTATCAGACATTCTCTAAACAGGAGTTGGATCTATCTGAAATCTCCCATTCTAATGAAATTAGTTTGTGGGATTTTTAGGTTTTGTTTTGTTTTACCCAGGGAGCAGGAGGTGCAGATAAGAGACAAAATAAAATTGCACAAGCTTATTGGTTTACTTTAATTGGAGTATTTTTGCTTAAAGGGATTATCTGTCATTACTAATGCAAATGGAAATCCTGTTTACAAATCCCTAAAATGCAGCACAGTGCTGGAAAGTGGTCAGCATCAAAAGCAATTACTGTGACAAAAAAATACATCAGTCTGAAAAAACAGAGGACAAAGCTTCCTACAGTTTATATGAGACCACATGGTTCTTAATTTCTTTTGCCCTGGTCAAACCAATGTCTACACAGTTTATGTTTTTAATTGTAACGTTAAAAATCTACTTCCTTAGACGTATCTCAAGGGGAAAAGTCTTTAACAGTAATGTGAGTGCATATTTCCTTTCCCTTCTGAGGGTATCAGAGGAGAGCTGATTCCAAAATTAAAATTAGAGCCTCGGTTTACAGAGATGGAAGAAGCAATGTGACATGATGGAAAGAAGATAAACGAGCCTTAGAGCCAGACTGTTGAGGGTTTGCATCCTGGCCCCGACATTTATTGGCTTTGTTAATTCATGCCAATTACTCCATCTCCTATGGCCTTTGCTTCTTCATCTGTGAGAACAAAGGATGGCAACATCTGTCTTTTCAGACTGGTGGTGAAGAGGCATTCAACAAGTGGACTTCTTCTTTCTCATTCATGCAAGTCCATGTCAGTTTTTAGAATCTCAGAAATCCAGACTAAGTGATACTTCCCCCTCAAAGATCTTGCAAATTATTGAGGCACTTTTGAATATATTAAAAGGCTATATATTCTTTAATTATACAAATGAAACATGTAATGAGCCCAGTATCTTAAATGATCATCATGTCTTTGAGAATAAGTGCAATGTACACTGTATTTTCAAAGTGGCTATTACCATTTCAGGGTGTCATGGGACAAAAACCAAATATGGCAGCTTTTCGAAGTAAAGCCATAAGAACTTATGTTATGTATTAATAGAAAAGAGGGGGGAAAGCATTGAATAAACAAGCATTTCTGATGGTTGAATTGGTGGGCTTAGGGATAGCATTTTCTTCTTTCTGTAGTGAAATCAAAATTGCCCATCAGTTTAAACCATGCAAATTGCTGCACGCAGGCTCAGCTGGGCTCTCCAAAATGGAACAGCTTATTTTGATAACCAAATAAATTTCCAACAGTTGCTAAGGAAACTAAAGGATTCTTTGTGCAAGTTATTGCATTGAGAAGAACCAGAAAGGTTGGGGGGGGGTGGGGAGAATGTTAGTTGATTAGGAACTTAAAACCTGTGTAGATGGATCTCAGTTCAGGAAAGTGAAGACTATGACTGGGAAGTGCATGGAATTTCAGTTCTTCCAGGTCTCCCTTGTTTGGCCAAGCCATCCAATCATTTTAAGCGGTTCATTGAAAAATTTATTTTATAGACATGATTGCATATTTGTACAGCAATGCTAGAGGAAGCCTGAATCTGTGTATCTTTAAAAAGAACAGGACTGTTACCAGTAAAACTTGCCCTGTGAAACCTGATCTTGCTCTTGGGGGTTCCTAATTCTTGGTACTGTTTGTTACATTTCTGGGGGGCCCCACAGATTATGCAGTGTCCTTTTACATCTGGGAGGGGGCCCACAGATTATGTAGTGTCCATTTAGAAATGTCTTGAGACACCAGCCCTTGCCCTTTACCCCTGAGTCCTATTTGTAGGTTCCTACTTCATAAAAATTGTCAAGTTTCTGTACCCCATGATGCTCAGTGGCCTTGGATCTACCTGGCCCAGCCTTGATGGTTAACCTGCTGGGACTGTGAGTCAAGTTGGACTCTTGCTCTTAAAGAGTCAGTGCACTCTACCACCATTGAGGGTGTCTTTGAAGAGTTTGAATTAGCCATTTACCAATTTAATGCTTTAAGAAGCCATATTCTAATAAATGAAGAGAAACCCCAAATGGCTTTATCTCTGAATGGTTTCCTTAAGCATTCTGAGCCTCAGTACATACATTTATTAGTGTGAGAATTAACTGAACCAATGTTCATAAAGGGGCACAGCATGTAGTTAAAGGAATAAATGACAGCTAATACTACTACTACTAATACAACCACTTCTACCATTATTACTATTACTCCTACTACTGTTATTACTGTTGTTATTGTCATCATTATTATTTTCCAGAATATGAGTAGGGATAAAAAGAATTTTATACACAGGGCTTCCCTCCCCCAACTCCCTCCACCCTCTCTCATTACTCTACCATTGGTTGGTCTTGCTGTGTTGTAGTGGGATAGTTTCTATCCTAGTGCTCACAGCTTGGTGCTCAGAATTAAAAACAAAGAGTCTTAGGTTGTAGGATCTGGAAAGAGGAAGACAGGAAGGGGTGAGTGTGGCTTCACTCTGAACAAGTGCTAGCCCAGCCAGTCTCATGCCTCTTTCCCATCAGTCAGAGGTGCTCAGTGGGCTGTAGCATTTCCACCTCCAAAGTCCCCATTTCATCCCTATGTACAGTCCAGTGTGGGTACCATTGACAACCAGAGTAGAAGAATGATAAAGCTGAAATCCCTAGATGGGAATCCTCTTTTCCCTTGAAAACATTGCCTTTAGGCTAGGTAACTTAGCACAAAGGTCACGTTCAAAGTGAAGCCTAGGCCAAGAGAATCAAGGTCCTGGTGAAGGATGTGCCCTAGAACAGAATTTACTCTTTTTCTTTGTATACACACCAATGATAATTATTTCCTACCATTTTGACCCACATTGGTGAAATACTAGAATGCTAGAAAAGAATATTCCCCTTTTATTACTCCCTGGGGTAAGAGCCAACTTATTTATGCCTCTGAGGCCTGCAGACCTCTGGAGAGAATCTCTGGGCTGGCCTCTGACCTGTGAGGCTCAGAACTTAGCTGATAGAATATGTCTCCTAAAAACATGCTCACTGGAGGGGAAATGAAGCAGGCAGGGTGCTCCAACAGCATGCCAAAATGTGGGGGAAGCTTTCATTATTTATTCTCAGACATAGGTATTATTTGAATGCAGACAATTCTGAAATCCCATCAGCTCTGACTCCCACCTACTCACAAAGGAAATGAGTCCTTGGAATTAGCAGTCTCGGGCTTATTTCTATGCAGTTTCTAAGAGGAAACACACAGTTCTGCATCCTTAGCAGAATTACAAGCTAAAGGGTATGCTCTTTTCTACCTAGAATACAAAAGAATTGTGGTATTGGGAGCCCCCAGATCAGATAAGAATGTGAAAGTAGTTCTCTTCCATCCTAATGCTTTGCGGATTTGGCTTCTGTCTTTGAACTTTGAACTACAGTGTGGTGGTTTGCATGTGTCTACATTTTCAAGGTAAAAGTCTGGGGCACATTCCTTCCATAAAAGAATCAAACGCAAGCTCTTTCCCATGCTAATGACAAAATACTAGTGGTGCTTTTATTGAGAGCATGCATTTTAACTTTTTTGTTGGTGTATTTTTAATTAAAATAACATTTAATGGTTGGAAGCTAAAAACCTGATGTTTCTGCCTAGGAGTTTATAAAGGAATGATAACATATGGAGAAGTTTAACATTTAAATTGAATTTTATTATTTAAAACAGTAAAATATTTTATGACTACAACAATGCCCTGCCAAGCTCCATTTCAGCATCAAATGTGCTTTGTAAGGAATCTTACAAAGCGAGGGGAAAAAAAGACATTTTAATTTCTTATTCCCCAAACGCTCTTTATAAAAAAGTTCCCACAAACGTGTTTTCCTTACAAATGGATTTTCGTTCTCTGAAAGTGTCTCTTCAAACGTCTCTAACGAAATAACAAATCTTGGAACTAGGATACCCAGGGGGTGCTTCCTTATGACCAATAAGATGTAGTCTACTGGCTTGAGTTTGCCTTGTCAATGTCCTAAAGGTGGTCTTCTAACATCCCTGACACCTCCTTCTGTCCTCTCCCAACTCCTCAGAAGGCTGATGTCTGGTAGGAAGTCAGGTTTATATGTTTCGCATGTGAGTGTGCCTAATTACTAGATATGGGAAGTTTGATAAGCCGCCTTCCTTTCTGGCACTTCAGGTGCCCCCAGAAAGCTGTCACTCTCCTGATTGGTGACGGAAGTGGGCAAGGAACCATATTTTTTATTCCAGCACCCGTAACCTGCAGAGTCAGGGACCTGGGTTGAATTTCTAAGTGTGACTTAGGCTTTGTGCCTGAATTTGAGAAAATGCCTCAGCTTTACACACCACCCCCGATTTTAGCACAAAAATGATAGAGACCTCCATCCAAGACAAGCATTTTACTTCCCTCCAGAAGTAC